TTAAATAAAAGTAAATTTTTTTTTTCTCTTGAATACAGATTCGTTGATTTTTTTTATTTTGTTTTCAAATCGATCAATATTTACACAAATAAAACGCATAAAATTTATTTAACGTAGAAAAAAAAAGAAAAAAAAAAAAACCATGATGAATTCCATAGAATATAACAAACAATAAACGTGTAAACAACGCTTTTACTTATGTGGTAAATACCCAACAAAGATGGATGCCAAAAATTGTTATTTCAACCGAATGGATTTTCTCGATAATTTATATATTTTTTTTTTTTTGTTAAAAATTGATTTTTTAAATGCAATTTTATGTTTTTTCGATAGATATGATAAATAATAATAATAATAAACACGGTGAGGAAGGGTTATAAAAAAAAAAAAGGGGGAAAATTAATAAATGGATATTCACGTGAGTGTTTTTTTAAAAAAATATTTATCATTATTATCATTATCATTATCATTATCATTATCATTACGGTCATTAATCGTGAGAAAATGAAATTATAAATTGATTTATATTGTCGCATTTTTTTTTTTCTTTTCAACTTATAAAAATAAAAAGAAAGGAAAAGTTTTTCTATTTTGAATTACAATTTGTATATTTAAATTTTTAAATAGAAAGTTATTGTCGGATATTTTATTTAATTTTCGTAATAATAAATAAATAAAAGGAATATTTTAGAAAAAAAAATACGAACGAAAAGAAAATAATAATAATAATAATAATAAAAGGAAAAAATTTATTTCTCTCGAAATAGGAATAAATTATTTTACGTCACAACCATTCGTAATAATTTTTCAAACGTATATATATATTATCGTTAGGAAAATTTATTTACTCTATGCCGTCTTTATTTTTATTTTAACTGTGTTTTCCCCACCCCCCACCCCCACTCCCTTTTATAATATTTATTTTATTTATTTTTTTATTATTAATGCAGTTATTAAATAAATAATTTTTATATTGTTTATTTAATTTAATGACAACTCAACCCAAATAATTTAAACAAATACTTTTTTGTTGTTGTTGTTGTTGTTTTTGTTTTTTTTTGTTAGTAAATAAATAAATAAATACATAAACGATTATAATTTATGTAAATAAAATAACAATAAAATCGTTGGCAAACTTTTTTTTTTTTTTCGTTTTAGGACAGTTTTAGAACTCGGTGAAATTTTTTTTTTTTTTTTTTTTTTGCAAACGACAAACGGATAAAAAATTGTAAAAGTACGAAAAGAGAACAAACAAACAAACAAACAAACATTTTTTCTTTATTTGGAATTTTAATGTGTGAATTTTTTATTGAAAAAAAAAAATTAATAAAAAATTCGCGGTAGAAAGTGTCAGTTAAAATAATAATAATAATAATAATAATCGTCGGTTGCAAATTCCATTTAAAAAAAAAAAAATCAGAGCAATCAAATAATAATAATAATAATAAATTTTATTTATTTATTTATTTATTTTAAATAAACAACCGGTTTATAAAGTATAAAGTTTAATCAATAACAAGCACAACCGGATATTTAATTGGAATAGTTAATAACAACAACAAAAACAAAAACAAAAAATAAATAAAAATAACGCATGACGTGTCATTAGATAGGCTACGTATATATATATAAAATATATGCGTAAATAAACAAACAAATCACGTGACGTCAAATTATTCTATGGTTTTCCCTCCATTTCGATTTTGTTGTTTTGTTTTGTTTTACATTCGAACAATCGTAATTATTATTATTGTTATTGTTTTAATTTTTTGTATATTTTAGTTTAAATTGATGATAATAATAATTAATAATGCTTTTTTCAGGTTTTTATTATTATTATTTTTTTATCGTTATGAATAACGGTATCGGAATTAAATAAATAATTTCTTTGCTTAAAGCATAACACGAGAGAGAGGGAGAGAAATTTCCAGTAAGTTTAGTAAGTTGTCAATTGACGTCATAAAAATTTAAAATCAACGTTTTTTTTTTTTTTTTTTTTTTAATTATTACACTAATTATTTATAAATGCGATCATACGAGAAAAAAAAACGACTTCTTATAGAGATTTATAATTTATTACTATACTGGTAATTATTATTATTATTATTAATAACTACGTCATCATCCGTGACGTACTTAAACGTTTTGTTTTTCAAATAATTGATCAAAACATAATTTTTTTTTTTTACATTTTTATTACTTTTTTTTTTTTGTTTTACGGATAATAAAAATCGTATAAAATTTTCTAACTAACTGTGTAAATTAATATCGAAATTAAAAAGTTATTATTATTATCATCATCATCATCGATTTGTAATCTTTGTTCTTTCTTTATCATTATTATTATTATTTATTCAACAATCGTGTGTGGTGGTTATTCATTTACCTTCGAAATCAATTTTATTATTATTATTATTATTTTATATAAATGATTTATTTTAACCTCCCAATTGACATGAGGTAAATTTTTGGACCCTCATGTAATAATAATGAAATTTTTCAATGTCAAATTTGGAGGACATTTTGTTTTAACATTTACTTCCGGCAAAATAATAATTTTTAAAGAGAATCTTTATAATATTCATCTTTAATATTTATCACTTATTATCATCATTATTATTATTATTATTATTTATTTTATCGAATATGAATAAGAGTGTGTGTTGTAGCATATTGAAAAAAAACCTGTATATTGTTTTTTTTTTTTAAAACATCTTCCTTGTTAAAAATGTTATGTAAAATAATAATAATAAAAAAAACAAAGGTAAATAAATAATAATAATATTATTAATATTGTTATTATTTAATTAATTTTTAAATATAAATAATTCGATGAGAAATTTTTTTGTTTAAAAAAGAAATTCTGATTGAATTTATAACAAAAAAAAAAATTAGTATTGTTAAACAAAAATTTTTTTTGCTGTAGTTGTTGCTGTTGTTATTATAGTTACTGTAGTTGTTGCTGGTGTTGCTGGTGTTGTTATTGTTTTTGCAGTTGCTGTAGTTGTTGTTATTATAGTTGTTGTAGTTTTTGTTATTATTGTAGTTGTTGTAGTTGTTGTAGTTGTAGTTTTTGTTGTTATTGTAGTTTCCGTTGTTGTTGCTGTAGCTGTTGTTATTATAGTTGCTGTAGCTGTTGTTATTATAGTTGCTGTAGTTTTTGTTATTATTGTAGTTGTTGTAGTTGTAGTTTTTGTTGTTATTGTAGTTGTTGTTTTTATTGTAGTTGCTGTAGTTTTTGTTGTTATTGTTATTGTAGTTGCTGTAGTTTTTGTTTTGTATTGTAGTTCCTGTAGTTTTTGTTATTATTGTAGTTGCTGCTGTGGTTGTTATTGTAGTTCCTGTAGTTGTTGTTATTATTGTAGTTGCTGCTGTGGTTGTTATTGTAGTTCCTGTAGTTGTTGTTGTTGTTGTTGTTGTTTTTGTTATTGTTGTTGATGTTATTGTAGTTGCAGTAGTTGTTGTTGTTGTTATTATTAGTGCTGTTGTCGTTGTTGTTGTTGCTTTTGTTGTTGTACACAAAGATTCCAGTAGAAATTTAATACTTATTTGTTGTAAATATCTCAGAAAATATAATTGCACTTAATTAGAATTCCATATTTCTTCATTATATCATTGATATCATGTTAGAAAAGCTCTGATTAAAATAATAATAATAATGACCTTTTCCTTTATATAAAAAAAAAATTTTAAAATTTATTTCGTATCATCATCATAAGTTATCGGAAGTTCCCACATAAATCATTTGTAATAATACAACCAAGGACATTTTTTTAATAAATAAAATTCTTATTAAAAAAAAAAAATTTTTTGCAAAAAAAAATTAAATAAATATATTTGATTATAAATAATTAATAATTATTTATTTTTAAATATTTATAAATTTATTATTATATATGATTCGAGGTTGAAGCAATCATTTTTTTTTTTTTAATTGATACAACATCAACCAGTTTAAATATAAAAAAAAAAAATTATTTTTTAATTTTTTTAAATTTAAATTAAAATAAAAACAAGTTTTT